AAAAAAAAAAAAAAAATGGACGACTCTAATAATCTTTTAAAAACTTTGTACTGATGTCAAGCCCACGCGTCGCCTGTCTGTATTCAGACGTCTGCGTCTCGCGTAGGTATCCGCGAACCTCACCATGCATTATCTCCTCGCCCAAACTTCAGCTCAAATTCTCAATCAACCTTTCATTACATCGCCGGTTTCCTTTCGCAACTCTTCTCTCGCCATGGTTTCGGTTGATTCCACCTCTAAACTCGAGCATGGTGATGGCGGCACCAAGTTATTTGGTATGGAAAACTTTGGAAATACTTGTTACTGCAACTCGATCCTCCAATGCCTCTACTACACAACGAAGTTCCGCCAACATGTCTTATCCCACAATATCACTCCGCATAAACGGCGACTCGAAATGCCTGGAGCCGCTCCTCATTCTTACACGACCAAATACGAGCAACTCCTTGCCAAGAAATTAAAGGAAAAAGGCAAGCCCAACCTGTCGCCACTGGAGACGTCTTTGCCATTAGGAAGTACGCCACCGCTGCGGCCTTCAATAAGAAACTCAATCTTCGGGAAATTCAGCTCTCAAAATACTCAAAATTTGAATGCCGAGGAGACTCCAGTCTCTCCAGTTTATAACACCAAAACGTACATCCAAGAAGCTGGAAGTTGCGAGGCGCTCTCTACAGAACAGAGGTTAATTGTTCGGAAAACCCCAGACTTTCACATGCTCAAAATCCTCATCACCAGGCCTTCGCCAAGCACAGGGACCGAAATCAGAAACGATCTGTCGGTATCTTCGTCGCTTACTCTGGACCTGGGCAATGTTTCCAGTAGCACGTCTGCTTCTATCGAGCCAGCGCCAATATCTTCCACGTCTGGCTTTGTTGTCGTTGGAATACCAAATCCAGAGCAAGGTCTTCCAGCACCGATCAATCCGTTTAGTCCGAACCCATCCGCGGACCATCGGAAGAGATCCGCGCTTATTAACGGGCCGATTCTAAACGTCGACCATCCTCTCCTGGCACTCTCACAATCTGACGAAAAGTGTCTTCTTTATTCTTTGAGCGACATTTTCGGGGCCATGGCCGAGAATCATTCCCAGATCGGTGTTGTTTCGCCTCTGTATTTCATAAAGAAATTAAAGGAGAAAAACTTTTTATTTCGACAAGCGAATATGCACCACGACGCTCACGAGTTTTGTAACTATTTGATAAATGAAACTATCGAAACCCTTAACCTGGAATTGGGAACAGAGAAGAACTGGTGCACACAGTTATTCCAGGGCACAATCACGAACGAGACCAAATGTTTATCATGCGAAACGGTGACATCGAAGGATGAAAGTTTTTTGGATTTGTCCATAGACATTCCGCCCGGGGATAGCGCCTACTCTTTGAATTTCTCGCTCAATAACTTCTCCAAACTGGAAACTTTAAACCATCAAAACAAATTCTACTGCAATGCTTGTCTGTCCCTTCAAGAAGCCGTGAAGACGATTAAGTTAAAGAAAACTCCAGAGGTTCTAGTCATCAACTTTAAAAGATTTAAGTACGATGACAAGTTGGACCGAATGGTGAAATTATTCGATTCGATTCTGTATCCTCTAAACTTGCGTCTCTTCAACACCACCTTGAGCGCAAATTCCACTGCTGAAACTCTGACTGATGAAAAACCTTCGGCAGCAACTCCAAATAATGATTTTTCTCTCTACGGTCTTTATGCATTGGTAGTTCATATAGGTGGTGGCCCCATGCATGGACATTACGTTGCGCTTTGCAAGTGTCAAGCTGGCCTTTGGTTCTTGTTTGATGATGAAACAGTTGAATTGGTTGATGATGCATATGTTCTCCAATTCTTCGGGGATGGGCCAGGGCTAGCCAGCGCATATATGCTTTTCTACGAAATTCAGGAAACAAAAGTGGTTGAAGATAGCCTTGACTTTGGAATCAATTTGAACAACGTCTACGACGGAGGAGATTACTCATTAGCTAAGCTGACCAATGTGGCGGTAGCAACAAACGAGAAGGAAGAAGAATGTACAGACGACCTCTTTGAATCAGATGAAGTGAGGCCTTTTCTCCCAACCGAGGGAAAAATCATAGAGAACGCCGAAGACAATAGTGTGGGCCGCACAAGTTCCCTCTTGAAGAAAACTTTTATGTTGGATTCAAGAGATGTTGAGAAGAGCAAAGATTTAAATACGCCCTCATCTGGTCCGAAGTTTGGCAAGCTTTCCGAATATTCTTTGGATGCTCAACGTCCGGCAATGAAGGGTGAGAAGAAGTCGTGGGTGGGCGGTCTCAAACGCAGAGAGCTGAAACCTGAGATCAGTCCCAAGGAAAGGACGGGATCTACGAGCAGCATCAATACTACGTCAAGCACCAACCCAGACGTGAGTTATACGGAAGAATCAAGTGTTGAGAAAGTTAAGCGGAGAGGAAGCATTTTTTCATTTAAAAGAAAGAATAAGTCTTGAGTCCGCAAGGTTGTACTTCTCCGTCAAGACATGCATGCCCCCTCTGTCGCGCCGTGCAAGACCTGTCCGCGACAACTAGCGAACGTTATATCACGTGACTGAATGACGAGCCCCATCACCATGAAGGCGGTGGCGATTGCGTTTCCCATACGTTTGCTCTTCATTACAATGTCCAATATCACACTTGTCTCGCCAACTTTAAAATCAACCCCCACAGCTAAGATCGTTACCTTAGCCGCAGGATGCTTTTGGGGAGTTGAAAGAGTGATGGGCAAGTACTTCAAGGATAAGGGATTGATTGACGCCAAGGTCGGCTATGCCAACGGTCTGCCCTCTATCAGTGATGTCTCGTACAAAAAAGTGTGCAGCGGCGCCACTGGGTTTGCTGAGAGTTTGCAACTCTCGTACGACCCAAGCCAATTGTCGTTGAAAGAAATCTTGGACATATTCTTCCGGATTCATGACCCAACAACATTCAATGCGCAGGGTCCAGACCAAGGCACCCAGTACAGAAGTGCCATCTTCGTTCACGATCAAGATGATTTATCGGTCGCGCAGGAAATCAAAGCTCATTTCCAAAAGGAGTGGTATCCAAATCACAAAATCGCTACTGAGATTGATCTTATCAAGAATTGGTACGACGCCGAAGACTACCATCAAAAGTACTTGGATCAAAACCCTGGTGGATATGAATGTCCGACACACTTTTTGAGAACGAAGCCAAAAGCATAGATTAAAGAGAGTTCCGACAATGCTTAGAGCCCCAATCTGCGTGATGGCATCATAATCGCGTTTGGCTAGTTATAGTGTTGTGAATACGAAGCCTGGTGCGGGCAATTTTTCAACAAGCTTGAGCGACTCAGAGACGCTTCAGATATCAGAACATTCCATATTTTTTTCCGGTTCTAATCAAATAAACGATAATGATACGAATTTTATATAAAACATTCCGAATTCGAAATTGACTTTTAAAATTATTTTTGTCGAACCTGTCCCACAATGGCTTATGTAACAAAGAGTATTACGAACACCAGATTAGGTCGCGCGCCACGTCTCTAAGACGAGCAAAAAAAACCATGCGAGTCGAAAGAACCAGAAAACATCACTCATACGTCACATTGAATAACGCCTATCAAAAATGTCTTTATGGGTTGATAAATATAGGCCCAGATCTCTAGATGCACTCACGTTTCATGACAATGTCACCAGCTCGCTTCGGGCCTTGGCATCTACAGGTGATTTCCCACATTTGCTCGTGTATGGACCAAACGGAGCCGGGAAGAAAACTCGTATTTACAGCACATTGAACGAATTATTTGGTGCTCAGGTAGAAAAATTGAAGATCGACGTCAAGACTTTCACCACCTCTTCGAATAGAAAACTCGAATTCAATGTGCTCAGTTCACCGTACCACTTGGAAATCACGCCCTCGGACATGGGTAATAATGACCGCGTGGTAATCCAAGATTTGTTGAAGGACGTAGCGTCCACCGAGCAGGTTGATTTCTCAAATCAGGCAAAGTCTGCATCCAAGCACAGATTCAAAGTCGTGGTTATCAACGAGGCTGAGTCTTTGAGTAGAGATGCCCAGGCCGCTTTGAGAAGAACAATGGAAAAGTACTCATCAAACATCCGTTTGATATTGGTCTGCAATACCATCTCAAACATTATAGCACCTATAAAATCGAGAACGTTGCTCGTTAGGATTCCTGCGCCCACGCTGACAGAAATTGCCGATGTGTTGCGAATCGTTGTGCTGAAAGAATCCGTAAAGCTCTCTACAAGCCATGAAGGAGCTCAAAACACATTCTTTGAAACAATTGCAGGAGCTGCAGATCGTAACTTGAGAAGGGCTCTTTTGAGTTTTGAGACTATTTGCATGCAATCAGAAACCGTGGACGTGCAAAATGTTAACGCCGCTTTTATTGTTTTAGACTGGGAGCAGATCATCAAAAACATTGCCGTCTCCATGCGGAGAGACAAGTCTGTGGCGAACTTAGCAAAACTCAGAGTCACATTCTATGAGCTTTTATCCCATTGTATCCCTCCGAGACTCATCTTGAAGACATTAGCATTGCACTTGGTGCAAATGGAGCAGGCTCGGACACCTGAAATCGTGGCATGTGCTGCTGTATTTGACGAAAGATTGAGCTTGGGGCTGAAAGCGATTTTTCACTTGGAGGGATTTGCTGCGAAAGCAATGGTTGCAATGTCTTAGTCGATTCAGTTGATATGGACGAAACAACAAGAATATTTGACAATTCATGAGACGGACAATGATCGAATTCTGACCACTCGCACTTATTATTCAAACCTTGAACTGGGTACTATCGGGGCAATTGTAACATTGTTTCAAACATAGGTCAAAAGAAACTCCGCCGATGAAGAGCATGAAAAATCGAGTGGTGCCAAATAATTTCAGTCCCGTCAGATGCCAAACGCAAATTAGCAAAAGGCCATACTTTGAGAAGAAAGTTATCTAAGTGGTTTATTGAATTAAACCCATAAATTACCATATCATTGCTTCATGAGAAGTACTGACTGCGAAGCACGTCAACGTTGAGAAGCGTTCTCTCGAAGCTCTAGCGCTGTACTTTATTATCACCAAACTTCGTCATCTCATCATGGGTATCACCCCTCGAATTCCCCTCAATTTCATCATACGATGGAGGAAGAGGCTCGCCCTCCTCTTCTCTAGCAATGACATCTTTTCCGCGATCTGAGAAATGGGCCTCGGCTGGATCATTCTCCTCGGATGAAGTAGTATCTTCGGCTCCTGGCTGCTGGATGTCGCCGCTTTGGTGGCTTGTGTCAAGGCGATTGTCTGCCTGTGTTTCTATGTCCCCTACTCTCAAATACCCATCACGGCCAGCCTCGACCCGGGCTGTTGGAAATATCAGAAGCACAAATATCACCGAGTAGAACACTCCAATTACAAAGAAAAAAATGGTGAGGAGACAGCAAATGATAAATTCTTTAGTGTTTAAAGAGTAGTTCGGCCCGCTCAAAAGATAAATAGGTAAAGGCGGAACAAAAAGCGCAAGCAACACCAACAATACTCTTTGGATGCTCGAGGGCAAATCCGACTCAAGAAACTCTGGAGAAATATTCATCGTTTATAGAGACTCGACAAGATGGCTCTCAAATGCTTAGGGAACAAATATATTCTAACCAGAATCAGCTACAGAGACAGGGGCGCAATGCTCACGTGAGGAGTCGCATGTTTTATTAGCACAACGATCAGCCATCTTCGCGAAACAGATACCGGCTAAATTGGGTGCGTCTAATATTGATGAGACATGCAGAGATTAACTCTTCATTGATCGCCGGCAGTACGAAATGTACACGAGGAGAAACAGGGGTATGAAAGTCTCCACCCGGCAATCCCTGCAAACCAGAGGTCCTACATCTCGAATGTCCAGACATCACAGAAGAGGCAATAAGCCCAAACTGTCAAACATCCAAATTACGAGCCCAGTTTTCGTTAATGACCCGCGTCCTCCATCAGGTAGAGCCGTCTATATTTTGACAATGCTGGCGTTTCATGGCCACTTCGAAACAACAAAGGCATTGTATACCTCCAAAAACTGTAGCTGGACAAAAATAAATCAGAAGACATGTAAGACTAAAACATCACGAATATCAGGACAGGGCCGAGCCCCATGGACTGCGCAAAAAAAAAAAAAAAGAAGACGAGAAAGAATGCTCTCATGATCTAATAATAAATGCCAGCGGCCCGGATTCGGTGGGAAAGTAGAGTCTCCGCGCGTTCGCTTATTCTTTTCCGCTCGCGCCCAGTGTTCTCTGCAAGTCCCAATTTCGAGATCCAAATTTAGTGCCGGTTTTTGCTGGTTTCAGAATGCTAAAACCCCAGTGGAATGCTTCCATCCCCGAACCACAAAATAAGCCCGAAACCTCGGTATTGTGTATAAGCCGCTACTAGTGTAGTTTTCCCGCTAGTAGGAGTAAAGGCCAGAGAGATTGCAAATTCCAGGAAGAAACAGCGACGCTTTTCTTAGCGTGTTTCGCACCTTCCCTTCTCACTGCGTGTCGTTTCAGCCTACAGCCTCACCTAACAATCTGAAACCCGGATTGGAGTTTCTCATGCGCCCTCTCGGTATCTTTGCACCAGAACAAACACCTAAACATTTCTTTGTCAGAAACCCAAATTCCACATCATCTCCCTCGGCGGATTATACACTTTGACCCAGCTCAACATACCCCGAGAACACCTGATCCAAGCACGGAATTCTTCTGCAAACAGTTCCGAAACACTGTGGTGGTCCGAGAAAATTCCTGGTTTTTAAATGCCTCTTATAGCACCACTCATGGACCATAAATCATATAATCATGCTGTTCATTCGGCCGCCAAATCCCCGGTTGGCTTTGAGCCTCCCTCCGCGAGTCGCTGGGGCTTGCCCTCGGGGTCCTCGACTCCATCGTCTTCCTCTGGTTCTATGAACTATTCCCCCAGACATTCTTGCAAACCCAGTTCGCTTCTGAGCTCAAGGAACATCAACATCCAACGCCTTCTGCTAGATACAAACACAGTGCAACCATCTTCGGTCCTGCTGCCGCCAAAAAAAGGCAAGCCGTTGGCTATTTTTATTCCGTCTGGCACGAGTCCCACAATGCTGCCGCACAATTCTATAAAGACTCCAGTACAAGAGCATTTGCCCACCAGATATTCTCCTAACCCGCTGCTGGCCTCCGCTTACGCGATGCCTCAATATCCTGGGTCGACCGATGTGAATGACGAGGTGCTTCTCGACCCAATCGTGGGTGTGAATGAAACAACCACCAAACTACGAAGCCCTATAAATGCCAGTTCTGGCTCTCCCGAGGGGTTCCGCGAGCAAACACCTAGCATTTCCCTGATAGTATGTCTGGATAATACCACAACAGACAACTTGATAGCACACGATACTCCCTGCGGCGCAGGTGCAATTGACCGGAACCTACTTTACGACGAGCCTCGTATCGGATCCAGCCTCATAAACACTCTGGGAAGTGAAACACCAGAAACCCTCATGATGCCTGAAGAGCTACAAGAGGTTGGGCTAACTTCCGCCTATCCCCAAGGCCCGGCAAACGTTTTGAACTCCGTTTTGTATCTATACTCAGACCCCAAAACGTCTGGTTCTCCGATCGATATCAACGACTTCGATCTAGTAGTCAATGTCGCAAGAGAATGCGACGATCTCAGCGCAGACTTTGACGATCGGAGCGGCACGAGAAAGTACTTGAGAGTCCCCTGGTCCCACACCTCTGCTATCCTGAAGGAGTTGCCCACAATAACACAGGAAATCGCGGCTATGGACAAGCCCGGAAAAAAAATACTAGTCCACTGCCAATGCGGCGTGCTGCGATCTGCCTGTGTGGTGGTGGCGTACTTCATGGTCAAATTCAAAATCTCTGTGAATGAGGCTTACGAGCTCTTGAAGTCGGGCACGGAGAGCGACACAGAAACGTGCTCCCAGAAAATCAGAGCAGAAGGTAACTTTGTGAAAGGTTGTGAGCGCATATGTCCCAACATGAGTCTCATTTTTGAGTTGATGGATTTTGGAGATAAGCTACAGAAAGACTTTTAGAAATACAGTACTTTAACCACATGTTCCTACATGAACTGACTGCAAAGATTCCTCGGCCTGGTGTATCTAATCAACTTATCTATCTCCTGTGAATCAATGAAGATCGTGGTAATCGTATCGTGTTGCACTTGCAAATCAATATTTCTGGCAATTAAGACCAAGTGCAGCACGTGAAATAAGGGAGCAATGTATGCACGTTCTTCTGTGCCCCCAAGATTTTGGTTTCCTATGCCTTTTGTCTAGCAGCAGAAAAACTGTACTCGAAGATCAACGTGTTAATTCTGTCTTCATTACGAAGATATATTTCTCACATAAACTAATGGCCTATATGTACGCTTGGCCAGCACTTCCGCACTCTAAGTACTCAAAAAAATATGAGGATACGAAAAAATCACACCCGAGGAAAAACAACACTCTCGCTACACGTGTCTCTTCCGAAGGTTTCTACAAATATCACCCATCTAATGTCTTATGGCAGTCACTACGGTGGCGGCTCCAATGATAGGACAAATCCCGTAAACAGCAGAGACCGAGATAGGGAGAACAACCGACCGGGTCGCTCAGATTGGCCTGAGAGAGACAGAACCGAGAGAAACGAGGGAAATGACCGTAACGACCGTGGCTTCAACAATCGGCATCACAATCTGCAAAAACGCTATGGTTCACAACTGTCAACTTATGGCGACCTGACGTCTGGCTCTACATACAGACGTCCAGAGGGAGGCCGGGATTTCTATGGGTACAGAAGCGGGTACAATCGCACAGATGTAGCCGAGAGAAACCAAGGCAACTCTAACAACGGATCATCGAACTCCAGGCGGCGCGACCGTAATTCTCAATACGATCTGTATCAGGGAAGCAGGTACAGGCCGGGTTCCAGCAAGCCAAAAGGACCTGGACAAAGTCAGGAGTCCGTCAGATCGACCGGTGTGAGCAGTTCCAGAAATGAGCCGCGCCGAGAAGGCCGTTTCGATGAAGCGTCTTCGAAAGATCTTCTAGACGACAGACGACTCCAGAACCGCAAACAGGACTGGGACTCCTCCATGTCTCAGAGATCAAAACAACTACAGCCTCGCTTGCCAAATTCTTCCCGTGATCATCAAAAGGCTGGTTCCAAAAGCCATGGACCAGCTAAAGTGCGCGTGGCCCTTGATTCTGGGGCTGATCATCGTGAACCCATAAACTTTCTTTCTAATGTAGAAGGAGACGAAGTGATATCCACTCGCCATGAGCTCAAAAAGGCAAATACACACACCGAGAAACCCCTGCTGAAATTACAGTCTTCACCTCGTGCTTTGGTATCGGTGACAAATCAAGTTAGTGTTGGGGGAATTCCGGAGGCTGCATTTCCTGATCAAGTAGATGCCAACACTCCTCACACCCTGCATGAGTCACTGTCATTTCTGGATATCCCATTCACATCCGCTCCCCAGGATACTGCCGATCATCTGCGACGCTCTGAAGATTTGGTGAGCATCGCAAGTGATGCCGTTCACAAGAAAGATAGTTTACTACGAATGTTTGATGATGACGATGATGATACTCCAGGTGTAAACAAAGCCTCGAACATGGGGCTTGCAGAAACAAAAGGTGAAAATCTTGATCGTTACAGAGAGGATGGTGTGCCAGGCTCGCCATCTTCAAACGGCTTTGATACATCTGTCCTTTCCCCTGTGGGTTCTACCGCATCAGATGATGCATTTGTGCAGACGCTCAACATCATTCCGGAAACCAAGTCTGCAAACCGTAACAATATTGTCGATGAGCCTCTGGATCTCTCCGAAACAGAGACTGTCATTGACGGTAAATTGCCAGACATGTCAGCCTCAAGGCTGTTTCTTCGCAAGAAAGGCCGCGATACCCTTCGCGGACGAGCAAAAAGACGAAACGTTATTTATTCTGAGGATGAAGAGATCATGTCAGAAGGCGAGGGTGACCCTCCTCAAGATCTTGAGTCCTTGGCGCAAAGAGATAAATCCCATTTCTCAAGCGATCCGATAGAGACGAACTCATTCCCTGAAGGACCCTCCCCTCAAGAGAACCAAATTCGTCCAGTTAGTGGGTTGGGTGTCTCAGTACAAGAGTCAAATCACAGGCATGATGAGAGTAGCTCCATCACGCAAAAAGAACATTCGCCTACGCACAAATCGAATCATAAATCCGCTTACAAGATCAAAAGAGACTCCACAGGGCGTTCTCAACTACAAAGAGCATGTAAAAAGGGAGACTTGCGGGAAGTCAAGGTCCTCATCAGTAAGGGTGCAAGTGCTAATGAAAGTGATTTTGGCGGGTTCACATGTCTACATGAAGCTTCATTGGCAGGACATACTGATATTGTTGAATATCTCATTGCTAATGGTGCAGATGTAAACAAGCAAGCGCTTGAAGCGGGCGATTTCGAGACACCTTTAATGGATGCTGCCGAGAATAAACACATAAGTACTGTGAAGACTCTTTTGAAGAACGGTGCAGATCCACACATTTGCAATAATGACGGCTATTCTACGATCACGAAGCTCTTTCGCCTCCAAGAAGATGACGATGAGTACGAAGATGTGATCAAAGTGATCAACGACTTTTCGCCTCCCAAAACCAACTCAGAATTAAGCAAAGTCACACATGCGCCTCGAGAAATTATTGATGACCCTTCAGAGAGCTATTTCAGCGACCTTGTGAGAAAAAATTCACAATCATTGGTTTACAAGTACGCCGCCCAAGGCAACAAGGAATCAGCAGCTGAAGATTTTGTGACACGCGGTTTATCCCTCCTGAGAATGCCTGATGTTTTAAATTTGGCAGCTCGAAATGGACATGTTGAATTGGTTGATATTTTGTTGGGGCTAAACCCAGGATCTTTCGATATCAATCAATTAAACAATATCGGAGTCAATGCTTTATTGGCCACAGTGGGTAGGGGCTTCTATGACGTTGTCAAATTCTTGTTGACGAAGGGTGCGGATCCGCAAATCAAAAGAGCTAAGGACGGTTTGAGTGCTTTGGAAATAGCAAAGCATTCTGTACAATATGACCCTAGAGAGGTCGTGATTTTGGAAGATTTCATGAACAGTCATGGCAAGCGTACTCAACCAATGGAGGAAATTCTGGAACCTCCTATGCAAAAAATGAATTCACACGAACCAAAAGTTAAAGATATTTCGAAACCCGAAACTGTCACTGGCGCGTGTACTGTGACTCAGGATGATCGAACGGATAAAGCGAGTATAGATGTTGCAGGAATGAGTTCTAAGAAACGCGATGAATCGCACAACGATGGGGGTATAGCTATCAATGATGGCGGTATTAAACCTATAAAAGCCAATGATGAGAATACCTCACAGAGTCATCATTTACATGTTGATGAGAAGGCGGTTAGTCTCAACTCTTCCAAGCGGAACATGTCATTCGATGATTTGAATCCAAACAAGAGAACGAAAAAAGCCTCATCTGAACTAGCGTTGAGCGAAGAGGTCTGTGGGGTGAAAACCGATCACTCTTCTAATGAATTTGTCACAAAGGCAAATGAGGATGAGGAGTTGGATATATCATTTGATTCTCGAGCCCGGTCTTCGCTGCCAATGGAGAATGTAAAACAAACGATTTCATCTTCCGTCTCTCATTCACCTAAATTTCAGGAAGAGCAAAGACTTCGAGCGGCAGAACAAGCTAAAATTTGGCAGCAAAAAGTGCAGGCCAAAAAAAGAGCTCGAAAGGAAATGTTTTTGTTGGCAGAAAAAGAAAAGGAGAAACGAAGGAGGGAGGAAGAGGAAAAGCGTCTCGAGCTTTTAAAAAAGCAGGAGATAGAACAGAGAGAACAGAGAAAATTAGAGCTAATTGAGGCCAAGAAAATTGCCGAAGCGCTTGAAAAGAAGAAGCAAATCATGGAGTACCACTACATGTTGCGAAAATATCCCATAGGACTTCAGGAAGCTGTTTTTGACGGAAATTTTGACAAAAAGTCCCGACTCAAATACACCCCCCTATATGTATTCTCTGTCGAAAATGACAGCTGGGTTATCGATATGCAAGTGGCATTGATACTTGCTGTATCTGTTCGGCAAGTTCACACCTTGCTTAAAGGAAACATCGGTCCCGAAATTGACGCTTCTTCGAAAGACAAACTTTGGTCAATTTTCTTCAGAATGATCGGAGTTGGTAATAATAACGTGATCGAAGAGAATGGTATGGAAAAATTTCGTTGTCTTCAATTGAGATTCGTCAGACTTGCTGATGTTGCTGATTGGATGAAACTGCAACATTCTGAAGCGTACAATATGTTGTGGGTTGAAAATCGCATCACTAATGTCGATTTAAGCAGCCTTGAACCTGCTCAAACTAGAGACCCAAGAAGATACTCAAACAGACGATCACATGGCGCCGATGTGGGATTCGTGCCACCTAGGTTTGCGCAACGTGGGGATGTTTTGAAGACTATACAAACCGCCAATGCGCCACTATGGTAAAGTTGCTATCCAATCTATATAAAGCTTAATGATTCACGACGATATGACACGAAATTGGTCCCTGTAATGTGAATGAGCCCTATATAACATGAGACTTGTGCGAACCATGGTGAGAAAAAAGAATTCCTTCAAGAATACTTCTCGACCATTCCAGAGCATCACGATTACCACACACACATAATGGGCGAATTCAAAATGTACGTTCACGGTCTTCTATCTTCTTTCTCGAATCTTTATTACTAATGCTGAAGAATATCCCGATCTGCGCTTTACCAATCTGAGGATGAGCAAAGCTCCAGCGAAGAGGAACAGATTTACGCTCCTGATCTCGAGTTCATTGAGGTGAATATTGACAACCCTGAGTCCACGGAAGACTTGGATCTAGATTCCAATACCCAGAATCAATGTGAAGAAGAATTTGCATTTCCACTTTTTGCTGGGGCAAGCACTTCGCAAGATGAGGTGATGAGAGTATCTTTGAAAGAAGACGAGGAAGAAGTCATTATAAATGAGCGGCCCGAGACATACTATAGAGCGATAAACTCCGAGGAAAAGTGCCGAGAATTCGAAACTGCTGCTATCTCATTCGCGGATATTTGGCTGGAAGCGAAATCCATTATTATCGATACACATCCATGGAGAGTCATGAACCTAAATGAGCACAACAAGAAATTTGAAGATGAGCAGAAACGCAAGAGGCATAGAAGAGAAGGTAAAAGAAAGAGAAACAATAAAATAATATGCCGGGAGCGTAGAAAAGAAAGAGAACAGAAGATCAAACGTCTTGAGAGAGAGGAAAAGAAACAACGATTTAGAGTAAGAGGTCAAGGTTGGAAGGCCGGCAAGGATAAATTCAAGCTGAAAAAGCTTTCGAACAGTGTATCAAAACCAAAGTACCGCACTGAATAAAATTAGCTTCTTCAGTCATGAATAGATATGATATTTGAGAAATGATCGGATACATTCGGACTCATCCAATAACTTCAATCAGAGACACAAACTTTTAGGTTTCTACTTTCTAATGTTGGCTAGATGATGCTTCAAGATCACCCATCATTATCGATATGTGGGTGAGGCGCAAGTATAGTGTGGAAATTATATGAGTTGGGTCATACTCAAGCCCTTCCATCGAAGAAGGTCTGTGAATTGATGATTATGGATAAGATACCGGAATATGTCGCGAACAAAACCTTGCTTTGAATGGAGACTGTACTAGAATGAAATTTTGATTATGCAGAGCCTGGAATGTGATCTCTTGAATAAGCTGACCACACCTAAGTTCCGTTCAGAGAAAAAAAAAAAAAAACAAAAGGTGCAAATGATCCTCCTCTTACAAAATTCTAGTAATTTTCAGACGCATGAGCTTAGCCTTCACCCGATTATGCCAATTTCAGGAATTCTTAATGTGATAGTGCCGATCATGAAAGTTATGTGTCAAAATAATTTCTCGTGGCGCTTGATTCAGAAATACTCATGTGGGATGCATGCCATTTGTGGTGATCAATTGAGTTGTCTTTGCGAGGTCGAATCGCTGATCTCATGAGCACATTCTTTTGAGAGAGCTACGTGGCGAACTCTTGCGCTTGAGTTAAAGAAATTAATCCAAAATTCTTTGCCTGGTCGGTTGTGTACTACGAAATTCATCTAAATCATGAGACCGCAATATAAAAGATTGCCATGTCAAAAACATTAAACGATGGTCTAGTGAATCGAGCAAATCATGGCATTTTGATACAGAGAACTGGATTATACATGGCAGCTCTTTATTTGAAATTGACGTTTGTTCTTTTTTAACAAACTCGAACTCCCTCCAACAAGATTTTTGTTTGCAGGTCTCTTAATACACATTATTGCTGGGCGAGGACTCATTCGGAACCAGATAATCTTCCACCAAGTTAAAAGTTTCTCAGTAATTAAGTTCTGTTCGTTCTGAATATATTCATATTCTCTGAATCATTTGGTGGCCTCAATTTATTGTAGAAGGATTGGACTCAATCTTGACGTTTCTAATGAAACCGCTCGTTTCGCGATCGCTGTTCGGTTCGCATACTCACAATCTGCAACTAAGTTCTAACACGCAGCATCTCAACGACTCATAATCAGCAAAATATCAAGTGCGGTAGTCAAAATTTACATCATCGCTGCATGTCGGAGCTAGAAGATTTTGAAGCTTTTCTAGGTGACGAGTTCGACCAGACTCGTTTTGCTGCCTCGCTTTTACAAGCGACGAACGTGGTGGACGATACTGAACTTGACCTATCCACACCGCTCAAAAAGCTCAAATTTGATGTCAATGAGTGCAATAAACGTATGGAGTCACTTGCATCCGCACATCACAACCAGCTTTTACGTAACATTGACAAAGTCGAGGTGAACAGGAAGCTCATGAACGATATAATTACTCCTCTGACTGCTAGATTGAAATCAGCGTACGAGAGGATCAGCAAAGACGTCATTTCGCCTTATGACGATGCAGTAAAGCTCAACAAAGCACTCCAAAAAATACATCAAACCTCGAAGTTATTAAGAGGTACAAGTTTTTTTGTTGTGCTTCTCCAGCAGCTTCACGAATGTGAAAAATCGGTCCAACTGTCTGAGGAAAGTAAAGAAGTGGTTCGCTTAGCAAAGAATTACACGCAGATTGCATCTTTCTTCAAAAATCCAGAGGATGTCGCCAAAGACTCGAGTACAGACTTATTATCTATAAAGCTAATTCGTGACTATAGTCCTTTATTTCAGGTGAAGTCAGCCGAATTCATAGCAGGCTTAGAGGAGAAGATCTCAAATGATTTGGGCCACCACAGCTCCTTCAATGCAAACAATTCATCCCTTCAAAACAACGTTTTGGCCCTATATGTCATGGCTCCTCAGCAACTTTCCTCTTTAATTGATCGAAGTGCCATGACTAAATCTATTCAAATTGCGTTAGCTCAACTAACAAGGTCCTTGCAATCACCACGAACATTGGCATCTGCATTCGCTGAAATCAAGCAAAGCGCAAGCAATTTCAGTTCTACCCTCTCGGCTCTATTTATCAATTGCGATGCCCTTGAGGCTGTCGGAGACATGGAACCTCTGTCACTTTTGAATAATTTCATTCTGAGCTTGCCGGATGCCCATGGTTCTTCGATAGAAGATATATACTGGTCCAGATTGGCCTACAAGTTCAAGAAAAGTGTTGCCGCAACAATGGCGAGAGGTGGCCCGATCGCCAGAAACTTGAAATCACAGCATACCGTCCTACTAAATTCTGTTGATTCCGCATTGGAGGGAACTACAGCAGAAATGATAAAAGATGCTTTAAGTTTGATTGGAAGTCAAAATTGAGGCAAAGTGCTGTTCACGTCCATCTAAAGTACACTTGTCAACATGATCAGTCTTTTCCCGAGTAAATGTAATGAAATATTAATTTCTAAAGCTTTAGCAACACGGGCTCGCAGATGTTGATTTAAACAGTAATTTTTGCCCTCAAGGTGGCCAAGAACTCTCTGTAACCTTGCTCGAATTGAGATTTGTCTTCCACCAAGCAACTCAACGCCCATAAGCGCAAGGCCATCAAGTCACGCTGCTGAGTCATTTCCATTGGTTCAATAGAGGAACCTCCAATGATGATGTATAAACTCTTCCACAAAATCGAATCTTTTTGCTCCCTGATCTTGCCGATAATTTGGCGAACCTTAAAGTTAAATTGAGATTCTTCGAATGAAAATTCAGGTAATTCCGTCTTTCCCGTTTGAATAGAATACAAGTTATCGGTACCAAACAAATCTTCGACGAGACCTGGTACCACATCACCTGAAACCCACAAGAACAATTCAGAGCCATTATCCATCAAGTAAAGACCATAAGTTTCCCAGGATGCCTTCGTATCATTGATAGGGTCGGGTAACAAAATCTCAGTGCTTGTGAAAACTTCTTTTTCGCCTGTTACCTCGTTCACTTGCACAATTTCCTCGGGTAACCCACATTCGTCTGGCATGCTATGTAAAGAGTAGACTGTCGGGTAAATAGTCTTGATCAACTGAGGGAGGGGCAAAGACCCCAAATTGTTTAAGGCAATAGCTCTGTGATCGGCAGGAACTCTTTGCTCTCTGAAACCCAAATGCTTTGTCAACGAAAATAATAACAATGGAAGCATTCTTAAATTTGTGGATAATAGAAGGGGTGATGAACCGGTAACATTCCCGGGGACCAAATCTTTTCTGTAAACGTTCAAAATTTCTACCAAGGACCTGGTCAAATAATCCCTAGCAGCAGATAACGAGCTGGATAAACCTTTCTCAATGGCTCTGTGCGTGAAATAGTTTGTAATGGCCAATTGGTCTGCTGATGCATAAATGTCATCCAATTTCGATGAGGTGGGGATCGCCAAGTTCATGACCCTGATCCTTCTCTCACCAAAGCATGTAGAATGTAGGACGGCGGCTTGGAAATACACCATCGGCTTCACGATAGTCTCCTCTATACTGACTTCGATCACGTAACTCTGATCCCGAGGAAATGTTGGGAATGAGCACAAGTCGGATGATCTGTTGAAAAAGTTTCCAAAGAATCCGCTCATCCGGAAGCCTGTGGAGCATCTGACTCTTAACACAGCCTCCAACGCAATATCCATAGACAAATGCTCGCTGATTTCCTTGGACAATTTGTTGACATCCTCTATCTTCGTGCACAACCACGAAGGATAGAAGTGGGTTTGACCAGCGGTATAGCGAGGTAAGTTGGACAAGGTTGCCACATCCTGGTACTTGGAGCCCGTCAAAAACAAATCAATTGTTACTTGAGCTGAATTACATTCGACTGCAAAAGACTTGTAAAAGGAGTCTGCAGCGTTCAACAAGGCTTGAGATTCCTTTGGCTTTCCTGAGTGTGCGCCTTCGTCTCTGGTCGCCAATTTGCCCTCTCCGATACTTGGCAAGCTGGAGGAAAACACTATTAATTTTCCACCAATGCTTGAGATCATCTTGTGGCCAGCTCTCAAAGCGGGGCCCAATGCGAAATGCTTGTTTGCAGTACCTTCGAAGTAGGCAGGGAAATCAAGCAACAACTTTTCAACCGACCTTCTGTTCTCTTCTAAGTTGACCAATAAGCCCTCGGGAGATGGCAAGAAAGGGTCATCGATGTCCGAAACAATTAGCATTTCGGGAGCATCGTCCAACCCCTCTTTGAATCTGAAGTAGTGCAAAGACGAGTCGACACCAATGAAAAAGACTCTTGCAGTCTTATTCTCATTTGGGATTCTGTCCAAGCTCTCTAAGATAGTTCTCGCAACAGTGGAAGTCAATCCCGAGTTAATTGCCTCCGAAGACACGTCGATAATGAAAGTGTAAACTATTGGCTGAGGAGTTCTGGCCATGTACTCCTTGGGCGCAACAAACTCAGTGACCGCATGGTTCAACTCTACCCTCTCGTAGCGGTTGGTTGGCTTTTGTGTTGACTCGTCAAAGTCAAAAGCTGTGGGGATGTCGTTCTGCAAGTTACAGAAGTTACATCTCCATCTCCTGCCACCCTCTGTCAAGGAGACAAAAGGATTGATGTAGCCCCGGCACCGACGACACCTAGAAATGATGGTGTCTTTGGCCACTGGGACTTCCTCGGTCTCGTCGTGCAAACTGTTGTATGGTCTGACGACCAAGGCCAAGGGCAACTTCGACTTCTTCAAGAGAGACCCGTTTGTAGGAACCACGTTTAATGTGGATCTGAAATATTCGGGCGACGCATTTGCCGTCGTGGACGTTGGAATGATCTGTGCAGTAATGGGCAAAACAAGTGGGGGTGGTGGCAACGACAAGTCGCTGATTGAAGGTGGCAACTCTTTCGACAAGTCCGTGGTGTACAACTGGTTCAAATGCAATGCTTGAGCGCTGCCCATTTGCGGGGAGCTACCCACACCATACCCATACCCCACTGGCCCGGAAGCACCACCCATGCCGCCTGCGGTGGCTGCCACATCGGCACGTTGAGCACCGCCATACTGAGAAACAGGGGGTTGGGCGGCTGGCTGGCCGTATTGCGCGGGGTACTGGGAGACCTCTCCGTATTGACCTGCTGGCTGCACAGGAGTTGCAGCATATTGCTGAGGGTAGACTCCGTTGGTTTGGGCATGCAAATTCCCTTGGCCCATTGTGGCTGGGTCAACGACTTGCTCTGGCTGTTGAATGTTCATGGCATTGAAGTTCTGGTTCAATTGTGAGACGCCATAGCCCTGATTCAAATTAGCGGAGGCTGGAGCTTGCGGCACCGCATACTGCGGTTGTGGGTATCCTCTTCTTCTTGACATTTGGTGTAAGAGCAGAGTAGATCGTAGATGGCACTAGTTGTCCGGAGCTTGGGCGTGGATGTGTTGTCAGTTTCGAATCGCGTGCGGACATTTACTGCGAGCCAGCCTTCTGCAGTACATCTGAGTACAGGGTGGCGGGCCACGTTGGTGGCGAAATTTTCTGAATGATTATCGTGATTAGTACAGACTTGTTCTTTTTCGCTATTTTTGTCTGATCCGTTCTCGGGCTAAGGAGATTTCATTGTGTTTGGATCTCCTGGATTAAAGAGTCTTTCAAGGCTCAACGCACGTGAACGCGCGTGTCTTGGGTACCTCGGGAAATTGTCCTCGAAAAACTAATTTTAATTAGGCGATGAAAAAAATTGCAATACGGCGCTGCTGGCTCCCCTACACGTTCTTCTAGCCATGCTGCTTATATCACAGGAAATGGTGATCGTTTTTTCGGCTCTCGTAGAAACTGGGAATTGCCTCGTTGTCTAACCTTCGCTCGCCATCGTGTTAGTTTTCTGAGTGTCTATATTTCGGGCAGCAAAGAGCGACATTTCAAAAATGTTTAGAGACGGCTCCAATAAAGCATTTTTCCGAAAATCAAGCAACCCTGGGCTCGTTCTCCAATGTGCGGCGAAACCTATTATGTGAAATTCTATGTGACCTACTCGTTTCACGTTCTGCCACACCGCTCACACATTTACTCTGCGACTAGTGATTCTCATTCAGTGAAAAGTTATATAGTTTGCCCGCAGTAACTGATAACCTCATCCAACTAAAGATCTAATTATGGGAATTCATTGTTGGAACAATACGTGAATTCGGCGATTTTTCAGCAATCCTTCCGACAACACTCTGATTTTTTCTATTTCATTCTTTAATCTACATCAATTTGTAGGCAGATCATCTAAAACCAAAAGATAAAGCATATTTAAATTATCAGTGCACGTAAACAGTCGTGACATTTAACTCACAATCAGCAATGTTGCCCACACTGCGGCATGATTACATAACATAGTGTACGACATCGGCCCAACCTCTTGCTGAGTATACTGCCAGGATGTAAAAACTACTTTTTTGTTTAGAGAAACATCATATTATAGGTTGGAGAAATGTAAGACACGCCTGATAGAATCCTGTTACGATTCTAGACAACCAATCGGGTAAAAACGTAATACAACTGTCCCACTTCACTAACCTGGACATGACCAGTTTCTCTTGGTATGCATGGGTTTACTTTTTTTTTGGTAATTTCATCTGATTGAAGGGGCAAAATTATATAAATAAAAAAAATAAAAAACCCTAAAACAGCTCCCAGCTACGTACAAAGTGTCTCAACTCGGCCCATCCCCTTCCGTTAGTCACGGCCTGGACGGTCCTCTTGGCCCGTCTCTGTTTACGTATTGAATATTACGTCATCGACTTCTAGGATAGGTAAAAACAATGTCTTTAAAAGGCTCCCAACTTATCTACTTTAAATCATCTGTTCCCAAGCTTTTCATTTCTATATACTTGGCAGTTTTTTTTTTAAAAGAAGCATCATATTATATGACAAAATCAAAACTATAAAACAATGTATAAAGCCCTTTTTCACAGCTCCCAAATACATTCCTAGAGTGCATTTGGGGCTCTTGAGTTTTTCTATAAGCTCATGTCTTGCTTGTAGGAAATTTCTTGACTAAACATTGTGAATCCTGGGATTTAAAACACATATTTGAGAATCTAACAATATCTCCTCTTTTGATGTAACCCTTGTAGACAATGAACACAACATCAAAGGTTGCATAGTGTAGTGGTTATCACTTTCGGTTCTGATCCGAACAACCCCGGTTCGAATCCGGGTGTGACCTACTTTTTATATCCTGGATACGCCACTAATTTTTTTTAGTACAAATGGCGTTTACCCATTTACTTACTCTAGTCTAATATATACTTTGAGCTGCAAACAAAAAGAACCACTCTCAAAGATCAGTACAATTTCACTTAATGGTTTCAGTTAGAAACCCCAAACCCATCAACATGCGGGTAACGTTTTTAATGTGCAGTATTGCTTCGCGATGCTTGGGTATATAAGAGGAAGAAATTTCCTTTGCTTTCAAAACTTTTTAACCAACAATCAAAAGTCTGCCAGATACTTTTTTGCACAAGCTTATAGCTTTCAACTAATTTTGAATTTGAATCCGAAGATGATGAGACTAAGTATACTTCTTTCCCAGTCTGACTCGACTATGACGACAGGGTTGAAAACCGCTTTCTTTGCATTTCCGTTGTCTTTGCAGGCAACCGTAAAGGGGGCTTATACTTGCCAGTATTAAGCAGTTCTGATTCACCATTCAAATTCAATTTTGTTGATCTCTACAAGCGTGTGCGAAAGAGCATCTGACGAGATTTTTGGGATCGAAAATTATCTACTTGCTCGCTTCGTTTTCTATGATGAAATATCCCATAACATTCGCAGTTTCCTCGGTAGCATGCAACAGAACCCAATCTAGCATGCCGGTGACCGCTCTATGACCTTCCATGGATGTCTGAGGAAAACGAAGAGAGAGAGTAATGATTTTCAAATCATTGTCATCCTTGTACTTTAACTTGTCTTAGGGTCTCTCAAATTTGATTATAGTTCTCTATTATTTGTCGAGAACAAAAATTGCTAAATATCTTTTGGGCGTGTCTGTTTTAGTGATCTCTAACAAACATGGTCAGAATGTAAGTGTTCTCGCTGTCTAGGATTCTTGTTCCAACTAAAAGGCTAAGCTAACGATCTGCTAATCTTAGTTGACAAGACAAAGCCGCGCATATCTCGTGAAACAGATTGATTTAGTCTATACACGAGGGATTTACATCTTTCCCTTGACATTAGGCTTCGTCAATGGCCATTGGTAGGAGCCCTCAGTTTGAAAAGCGTACCCGTGCTTGGCCAAGAAGCTTTTCAATGGCTTTGGTCCCTTCGAACCGTATGGATAAATGTGGAGTTCTGGAGCGTCCTCAGATTCAATGTACTTCAACAATGGGGTGAATAATTGCCAAGAGACGTCCAACTCATCATCTCTCACAAAATTGGCATGGTTACCCAAGAAACAGTCTCTAATCAAAGCCTCGTATGCTGCAGGGACCCAAAATTCTTTGGAAAATCTGGAAGCGTAGGTCAAGTCCAACTCGGTGACAGAAAGTTCGTTGGCAATACCCGGGATCTTGGAATTTATCTTCATGTAGACAGCCTCGTTAGGTTGGATCCTGATAACCAATTCATTTCTGGGGATATCCGTGAAAATGCCCTTGGCAACATCCTTGAATTGGATTCTGACCTCGACCTTTGATTCGTTAAGGGCCTTGCCGGCTCTCAAAACGAAAGGCACGCCGTCCCATCTCTCGTTGTGAATGGAAAGACCCATTGCTGCATATGTGACACACTTGGACTCACCCTTGACGGTCTCGTCATCCAAGTACCCTGGTTTCTCTCCATCCTCAGACTTTCCGTATTGCCCGATCAAGATGTTCTCCTTCTTGACTTCTTCAAAAGCTTTGAGAACCTTCACTTTTTCATCTCTGACTGCCTCTGGGTCAAAAGACACTGGTCTTTCCATGGTCAATAGGGTCAAGACTTGCAACAAGTGGTTTTGCATCACATCTCTGACGATTCCGATATCGTCGAAGTATCCGCCTCTGCCTTCGGTTCCAAAAGCCTCTTTGAATGAAATTTGCACGGAGCAGATGTGTTTACTGTCCCAGATACCAGAGAACATGGCATTGCCAAACCGCAAGAACAACAAGTTCTTCACCATCTCTTTACCCAAGTAGTGATCAATTCTGTAAAGCTCTTCCTCGGTGAACAACGGGGCCAAATCCTTCTGCATTTGTCTGGCAGACTCCAAATCGTGACCAAAAGGCTTCTCCACAATGAGTCTGAGTCTGCCGTTCTCCTTTGGGTAGCAGTATTTTTTGATGTGAGCACCAACGTTGGTGAAAACAGATGGAGGCAAAGCTAAGTAGAACAATCTCTCGGACTTCTCGACCTTATTCTTTAAGTCGTATTCCTGAATGGCCTGTTCGATTTTTTCGTATCCTTCAGGCTTGTCGTAGGGCCCAGAAATGTAGGAGATCAATTGCAAAAAGCTGTCGACCTTGGAAGATGACTTCTCGTCATCTAACTTCAAGTTTTGCTTGATTCGGTCTCTCAAGTCATCAATGGCCAAGTCGGAGCGGGCGTACCCAATGATGTTCACATGAGCCGGCAATTGCCCCTCTCTGTAAAGGCCGAAAAGGGCTGGGAAGGTCTTTTTTTTCGCCAAGTCACCGGAGGCGCCAAAAACAACAATGGAAACGTGTTCGCCAAAAGAGTCTGAGTGCATGCTAGTAGATGATGTGATGAAGATTGTACAGCCCGAAGCAAACGTGAAGATAGTCTAAAGATTTGGGTGAAGCTGATGAGCAATCAAGCGGAAAAAGCACTGCATTGCCGCACCGCGGTTTACGGAGCGAGTTATATAGTGACGCCTCCAGCACTGGCCGGACTCGCACCGGCCCGATAAGGCACTGATGGTGGATGCGCAAGCCCGCAATGAGAAATTGATTTGTCAGACTAACGTAATTTGCATACAAACTCTGAATTCCACCGGCGCTGGCTGTAATGAGAATCCACAACAATTCGAGAAACTTGAAAAAAAATCTGAATTTTGAAAGTACTTTGGTCTTTGAAGGGACAAACTCTACAGACCCCTCAGTGAAGCTCATTGACTTGTGTTTTTCCGGGCTTAAGACAGGGGAGGGGTAATGAAACAAGAAACATCCTCAGCTTTCGATGATCCAAAATCTACTATTACATAATTCTATGAAGGATCTATAGAGTAGACAGAGTACTCGCAGTACTTTGACTTTCTTATTAAAAAAAAAATATGAAGTTCTGCTGTATGCTATTCTCTGGGTTTTTTTTTCTATCCGTGACTACTGCATCTCATCACATCTTTTGCTGTCGCACGTTTGTCCAACATTTTTTCGCAAGTGTACGGCTCATTTTTCGGGCCCACGCAATGGCCGTCAAGTTGGTACACATAGTCCGAATTTTCAAGTACTTTCGAACGCCTAATTTATTGAGATACAACTGTCTCCTTTTCATTCCGGGAGAAGCTACTAGAAGTGATGTGAGTCTCTTGAGCTAGAAAGTGATTATCAATTTAATGTCCTTCAAAACTTGCTACATGGCAACAGGCAGGTCAGTAAACTCCGAGGGTTTGCATCGTGGTGCTCACGTGCTCTTAGCGAATATCGGATTTAAAACTGAAATGGAAGGTGGGGAGAATGACTGGCATCATGGAAACCAAACCAGAGCGAATTTTATTGTGTGTGTGAAACATTCATACTATTCTCATGGGAAATATTTCTGAATTCCATTGTCCTGGGTATGGAATCTTAATTCTCTGATTTTTGGCAACACAATATATTTTTACCAATGTCCATAATGCGACGTCTATTATGCGATATAATTCAAAAACTTTGGGATCTTAGGTATGAAGATAAATCTGTAGTTTATTCAAACTCCAATAAAAAACACAGCTGTTTTTACATCTGTTTCACTTGGTAGGAGAGCTCAACCTTCTACGATAGAGTTACTAATATATACACAACTTTTGGTGCAAGCTCTAGCATTTGTCTATAGATTTTGATAGGATGGACATTCCTGGCATTTGGCAAACATTAAGTTCCCTGATTTTCATTCTCGTTTTCAGTCTCTCCCACAGCGGATATTTCCACGCTGTGACCCTCCGCTACGTCCCCTGTTCTCTCTTCATGACTTTTATCAAAATCATCTTCATCACCTACTTGAAAAGCATCATCATCGTAGTCTGGGAGCGACTCAACATTAAAGTCGTCAAAAAGTCTTTCTCTCTCAAGATCTTCCTGCGAGGGAGTTTGGAGTTCGAAAGCCTCTCCATCATCATCACTATCGCTGTAATCTTCCCCTGGGATTATGTCAAATTCGAAGTCTCGCCTGCGTCTTCTTGTACTGCTTTGGTTTCTGTGCCATTTCATCATGACAAGGACAAAAATGAACCCAAGGACTGCCAACAACATGAAGTATTGGCCCATATGTTCAGATGAAAGGAATTTTCCCGTATGATCCTGTCCTTCGGGCTCATCTGGTTCCTCAACATTATCTTCTGATGGTAAAGCAGTAGACATAGAGGTTCCCGTTGAGACCAAAGATCCACCATGTGATAAAGAAGTCTCTTTACTTGGTTGGGATGATTTGCTAGCGGAAGTCGAGGAAATGGACGTTGATTGCGAGGTGGCACTAGACTGAATGATAGGAGGTTTTTCTTCAGCAGCACTCTCTCTTTTACGACGAATCTTAGCATAATCCTGATCCAAGTCATATTTCTCGGCCTTTTCCGGGTCGACGCAGGCACCGAAGAAGTTGAGTTGCCAATTTTTGACGATTATTTCATTTCCCAGAGTTGTTGATACTTCAAGTTTCCAGTCGCCCAAGCCTGTTTCTCCCCAATGCGCAACAGACATGAATGTCCAATTCTCAAGACCTTTCTTGGCTGTGTCGTATTCACGCTTTTTTGTAAGCTGACTGACCACACCAAATGGTGAAACAAGTTTAACATCAAGCAAACCTCTTGTTTGTGACCCAATATTCACTTTGACTGTTACGTGTTCAACTTGCTCAAAGTTCATGACTTGTAAGTTCTCTTTGGTGACTGTGATAATACTCGAAATAATGCTTGACTCTTCTCCACGTTTTGGTTTGAGTTTTTGGTTGACAGTTTGTAGGTCAGAATAGTGCCATGCTTGGGGCTTTACATTCTTCCAGGCCTTGGCCTGCTCGATAAGGACTTCGGCATCAAGTTTACCAAAACCATACTTGTTGGAGTATTTTTGTCCAAACGCAGTCATTTGGTAGTCGCCATCATGTTCGTTGATTGGGACAGCGGCTGTGGCACTCAAATATTGCGTATCTCTCCATGTTAGTTCTGGGTTGGCTTGCAAGACCAATGCATAAATACCTGCTGCCAATGGCGCAGCAGCAGATGTACCACCATGCTGCGCCGAACATTTTTCGTGAATATCTGTTGTATGAATATGTTCCCCTGAGCCCGAGCTGTAAGTGACCACCATCACGGCAGAGCAGGCCTCAGCGTATGGGGGGTGTAGACCTTTATGGTCAATAGCCCCAACTGTAATGGAGTATATGGAGTTAGTGTACCCATCAAAGTTACACTGATCTCCAACACGGCCACCATTTCCGCTTGCAAAGACATAAATGGCTCCTTTGTTCGCACGCCCTTCTTGGATTCCTTTAATCATCGCCTTTTTTACCAAACTTTCTGGCGCAGAAACGGTTCTTCCATTATCAGTGGGTCCCCACGAGCAGGAGTAAATATCGTTATGTTCCAAGCCGTAAATCATTGCAGCAGCTTCATCCTCCGAGGTAATCGAACCCGAGAGAATCCTGATACCAGCAACTTTACTTTCGTACGCCACGCCAAGACCACAGACATCGTTCTTCACAGCAGCAACCTCGCCGGCACAGCGTGTGCCGTGATAGTCATCAAAAAGACGAGGCTTGGGTAATGCTCCGTTGTCGTTGAAGTCCCACAGCCCCTCTTTGCTGAAATTTTCCAGAAGATCAGGAGATTCGTAATCTAAGCCATCATCGACGATTGCCACCGTGATACCCTTTCCTCGAATTCCGTCATACCATACTTTCTTTACATTAACATCATGCCCAGGATAGTTTGTATTGATCAAGTGCCACTGTTGAAGAAAAAGAGGGTCCTCAATCCCAAGTTTATCGCTGACTTCCTTTGCCGGTTCTTGAGAAGAGTCTATGATGTCGAGACGACGAGTATTTCTCAGATGATAAGAATTTTCAGGCTTGCGCTCCACTGGCTGGTCTAGAAAAACCGGCAATCTCTTTTCGAGAGTCTTTGGGTGAAGCATATGTATCAGCTTCAAATTCGGAAAGCTCGTTAACTCATCATATTCGTCCTCAAAGCCATTTGAGCGCTTGATGAGGTCGTATTCATTGGAATTGTAGTTGCCTAAACTTTCTGTGTAGTCATGTGTTTTGGAAGACGAGAATACAAAATGGTCGTCTAAGCCACGAGCAGGATGCTCGAACCTGACCCAGTCGTTGAACCTGGTGATAAAGGTCTGTAGAGGAGAGAGAGACGCCAGTGTATCTATTTCCACAACAAAGTATTGTCTTTCGGAGTAATTTTTTTCCGGAATATTGAGTCCCAGGACGTGGGCCACTGCAAGAAGCAAGACCACCGATAACCTCATGCCGAACAGTCTATGAAACGTGAAACGACTAAGGCCAGGACTTGAATCTGATATACAGTCTATTTAGGCGAGATCACCTAGATATACAGATAGATTAAGACTTGTGGCGCCAAGCTGTTTTGGCCTTGGAAGTCAGATTGAACTCACAGAAAAAAGCCTGTCAAGCCGAGAGGATATGCAGATAAAAACCGACACTGTACATGGCCGCGACGTCGAGACGAGCAGATACACGGCGTACTATGACGGCGAGGTCACGATCAAGTGGAGACAAGATATTGCTACATTTTCAACTGTGAATCGCACATTGAACTGTGGCTCTTAGGTTATCTTAAATAAAACATTGTTACTCTGTCTTTTTGGACTAAGAAAAGTTACATTGTTCTTCGCTTGCGGCGCGCGATCAATTTTCGCCACGCTTGGAAGCTGAAACACTCTTGGCATCTTTGCGAAAAAGGCACGAATAGGCCATGCATGTGTCAATAACTCGGTATCGTTCTCATTGAACCGGGAATTGACTTGAAAAAAAATTACTTTAATATCACTATTGATCATGGGTGCAAGACGTACTCGTTGCACGCGAAGATAACTGTACAATAGTATCGCGCTCATGCGGTTACGTTTCAAGTCTTGGGGTGAGATAAAATGAAAGTAGATGTTTTGAAACTTCGTAACAGGAAGACATAACCAGCCCATTTTCGACAATCATTTGAATAGTATAGATATTATATTAGCTGTGCCTGGCAAGATATCGGTTGACAGAGATCAGGACTTTTGTGCTGAAATCATACTTAGACATGAAGTCCCGATAAACTTGGCGTAACCTAGAGTATGAACATGAAGATCGAATATTTTAGTAGGTTATCTGTCAGTTTAACGATTATCAAAGAATCCCATTGGGATAAATACTTTCATAGGGGCTCTCTTGAGCGCTATAATCCATGTTGATGGAACAGCAACGGGAGTTTTTTTTTTTTATAAAATGACGCCCAAAATACATTTCATTGATTAAAAAAATTGAAGCTAGAAATTAGGGTCAAATACACATGTATACCAAATGTGCGGCTCAAATGGTTTCAATGTTCGACAAATGGTTCCCTTGCCCATTTTCTCGATATTTGACAGACTCGAAATCCAAAACTAGAGAATATCGTGCCTGCGATTATATCTAGTATACCTTCGATTCTCGCCGCCTGTTTAAGACACGATACCCTTAAAAAACTCAAGAGTATTTTTACCCTCATTCTGAAGATTCAACATGTTTTGGATTATTATTCTTACCATCAAGCTAGGGACGATCTCCATCGTATGATATGTGCGTTTAATTATACAGCGCACCCCAAGTGGTTTCAACGAAAGACTTGGAAACAGTGAGCTCGAAAATTCAGTCTATCTCAAGGTTGAGTTTGATCATACAATGTACCTTAATTATGTCACCATATAGCCTGCAAATTAATCTACCTTAGAAAGTCGAATAGATCCCGATGAACACTCAGCTTTACCCAGAAGAATTTTCACATCTACCAAGGTGATCTCCAAGATTTGCATACTTTTTTTTAATTACTGCATCGTAGATTTATATGAGCTCAATATAAACATATTTTAGTCCATAAAACAAGAGTCCTGTCTCCTAAAAGCCCTTTGAAAATAGAATCGCTAAAGGGTTGCGTTGCTTCACTAGAAGCGAAAACAATCATGTTTCCCAATTATAGTTCTATGTACAGAGTCATGAACCATGAGGGCAACACCTTAAACAAATATATTCAAGTTTACAGTTTTTCTTTTATACGGCCACGATATGAAATCCGCTAGAAAAGTGGTTTACGACTGAGTAGATTGACGGGATTCTCACCATTGGATACCTCATGTTTTCGTTCTTTGGCTCTTTCAATTCCTATCGTGAGCCCAAAGATGTTAATACATGGTAATTTTGAATGATTTTAATCATGTTCTTCATGGACAGACAAAAGCCGGCACATTTTTGCTCGTTATGCGCAAGACCATTGGTCTGGCGTCCTTCAACAGAGTGTGATTTACTCTGATTTGATATGCTTACTTATGACAAACAAATTTTTTATAGAGCGAAAAGAATACACAACTGTTCGAGTAAATATCTTCAACTGGGGTCATTTTTTGTCAAGCGCACAATCACATGTGTCTGGATTTGAAGCCTTTCAGCGTCTCGACCTCAGAAATCATGAGTCCGAGTTCTTTCATATGGGATTCTTAGGAAATGGGACAAGTACTTCCTTATTCTGCTCGAAATACGTTATAATTTATGAGGAATGTGTCGTATTCTCTGCATACGTTTTATCAGCCCAAGTGACTTATTCGGCAGATGCGGATTCGACTTGCGGTAATCACAATTAAAGTACGTTAGTGTTGTGACGGCGTCATGGCCCAAGTACTTGCAAAATTCCGGAACAAGAGAAAAAATCCTGATATTCATTCGATTGACATGTATGTAAGCCTAATTGAAAAACCAAATGAATGGCTTGCTCCACCACTTGGCAACATTAACTTTTTGCTGCTTTTCTTCGCGATCTAATTGTAAAACTTCAGCATCAACAATGGTTCTGCCAGTGAAGATGTCAATATCAGCCGTCTTTATGTAAAGCTTGTTCCAGCTCTTGCTGTAAAGCTTATGTCCAATGTAGCAGACAAGGAAGAATGGAACTGTAAGATAGTTTTGAAAGAAATTCCCAACATCGGCATCAGATCCTGGGAAAAGCGCAACCCAAAATTGACCGATCAAAATCAACACGTTGATGAGAATGGAGTAATAAGAGCCGATCTCGCCCGTGTAAGAAACAAAACCTAAAGTTTCCAAAGGTATGTTGTTGTGTTTCAAAGCAGCTCTCCATCTCAAGTGACATATGGAAAGACAAGGCCAAACAATCACAATTGACAAGGCAACAATAGATAACAACCAGTTGAAGACAACATCCTGATTTTTGTAAGTGGCGATAAATGCGAAAGCAGCCGCTAAGACGGTAATTAACCATGCTCTAAGGGGACGACCAGCTTTGTCAACATAGTCAAACCATTTTGGCGCAAAGCCTTGCACAGCCAACGATCTCAACAATCTGGAGGACGAGTACATTGCGGCAGTGGCAACTGAAGTCACCGAGTTCAAGATCACAGCATTCATGATGTGGGGAATGACCTTCACGCCATGTAAGGAGGCAGCCAAAACGTATGGGGAGGCACTGGTGGACGAGCTGTCCGATCCCATGAGTTGGTCGGAATCGTAAGGAACCAAAAGACCAACAAAAAGCAAAGATCCCATGTAGAAAAAGACAATACGCACAAACACAAGTCTGATGGCAACAGGCAAGGCAGTTCTTGGGTTACGTACTTCACTGACAGACAACGCCAAAAACTCAGTTCCACCCATCGAAAAAGAAGCAGTGGCAAAAACAGAAATTAAGCCTTTGAAACTAGTGAAAAATCCTGGGTCTCTCCAGTATGTGCCGCCGATGAAACCATCAGGACTAGCACCCAAGTCAACACAAAGACCCATGATGACGAAACCAGTCAATGCTATCAACTTAATCGAGTTCATCACAAATTCTGCATCTGCATAACCCTTGACTCCAAAGAAGTTGATTCCGCAAATGACCAAGAAAAAAATCAAGACAAAAACATCAGAGTCCACACTCGTGTTCCAGTATTCGATAGTTAAAGCAGCGACCACTAACTCTAAAGAGATTGTTGTGAGCCACGAAATCAAGTAGTTCCATCCCAAGGCAAAAGCCAAAGACTCATCCAAGAACTTTCTGTACCATTCATTGAACCCACCATCCAAGTCTGTGTAAGCAACCGTAAGCTCACCAACTGCATTCATCGTACAGATACACATCGCTCCAACAAGACCGTACGCGATTAACAAAGACAAAGGTCCACCGCTCCTCAACTTAGAGGCAGAGCCAACCAAAAGTCCAGTTCCCATACCACTACTTAGAGCAATGACAGCTAAGTGTGCCATTTTCATGTCTTTAACTTTGACTTCATCTTCATCTTTTCTCTGAAAAGATTCCCAAAACCCTAGTTTTGATTGATTCCCATCGTCGGAATATGCTTTGAGTTCGGTGACAATGGGCTCGAGATCATTAGAGCTTCCCGATACTAGTTTTGAATTTCCCATTTTAGCTCAGATGAAGAGAGTGAATGATTGTAGTTATGTTATTTCGAAATGATTTGATTGCCAGTATTTGGGGCTTGTATTAATTTCCCAAAAGAAAAAGAACACGCTGGATATATAGATTTTATCAGCCAAGAAAAAAGAAAATGATGTCGGGAAACAAGCAGGAAAGATTAAAAAATCCAGGAATTTAAGACAGGGAAGTATGGGCCTTGCCACCAACAGAGTCTTTATACTAGACGCACCCCGCTCCACTATGCCAAGCGAAGCATCATTCCCATGTCGCTATCGTGACTAATGTTACTCCTATCACCCACCCAAAATTTGGGGTACATGCGCCATGTCGCGATAGAAGATGAATCGGTGAATGCAAAGATAAGTAATTCAGCGACTGGCTGACTATGCATCGCCTTGTTTCTGAATGCGAGAGGCAGTGATATAGGCAGGGCACACTACGTAATTGGTTGCAAATGCTCTGCTTGCCGTGTCGCATATACACTACCAATGCATATATCCCGCAACGTATTTTTTTTGCCGTGTGTCTTCCGTGGCAATAAAGAATTGCCTGACACAGTTGTTATTGGTTATACGGAATGAGGCGGAGTAGCGAAGCGGGAAAATGGAACTATATCCCCGTCATTGCATCTGTCTTCTTATCATGGCTTTCATCGGCGTAACCTTCATTAATTGATTACGCGATGACAGAAAAATTCTCAGTGGTCCGCAACGAAGAGTAAAAAAATTTACACGGACTAATACCAATTCAGCCAGTACCGAGTATATTTCCGCAATTGCTTCAGTGCTACATTTTCTTTATTTGAATTATGGACTCCTCATGCGGAAAGAAAGTTTTGAGGAGAGCTTGGCCGATCCGGAAAGATAAGTCAAGAGAAAGCGACGGAAGAATTCGGCATGACAGAGCGGAACAAGAAAAATATACCCAGCGTACGCAGCAACCTCGCGTTTCCAATTATGTCAATCATGCAATTGCTGTTTCTGATGTGTTTGATATTTTTTTGTAATTGTCTGTTCGATTGAAGACTTCAGCCTCAAAGCCTCTTGTATGCTGAAAAATTGGACGTACGGCGATTTGCCTTTCATTTTCAAAGGAGTGCATATCTTGGGCACGGGACTTCACGGCTTCGGCGCTCGGCATCTTTTGCCGAGCCGTTGCCGACATTTCAAAACTGTCACATATTGAAACTCGCTTCATATTTGTCCACTGTGTTTTCTCAATCATTTCGTTCAAACATTGTGTAAAAGACGTGTGATTAAGTTTCTCAGTTTTTTTATTAACAAAAAAAAAACGATCTAAGGAAACGCATGAGTATGTGAAGTGCTTCGACTGGGTCAGCCTTTACGAAATCTTTAGTTATCGATGCATTTGTTCGTACTAGCACCGATTTCTTACCTATAGAATGTAGCACTCAGCTGTGTTTACAGAAAACTTTGAGCCTTCATTTCTGTGTACTTCTTGGGCATCAGGACTACCCGAACGCCGGATATGGCAAATCAAAAATTGTCGTGGAATGATGGTGTAATTTTCTTGAATATATAAATCACCGCGAAAAATGCTTTGACTTAATATCAAAAGAAAAACATCATTCTAATTCGAGGAGAAATCATGACACCACCCAAAAACTGTGTACCTAATGCGCGTTGCCACGGAACCAATTCTTTAGAGGTGCTCCGAGAGATTCCGCGCCAATAAATGACGATGAATCCAACCAAAAAAGATAAAGGACCCAAAATGCGTGGGGAGTCTATTCCCATTTACGGGCCCATGGAGAACTTCAAGAATCAAGATCCAGGAATTCAATTTTCGTTCCGGGTATTTTTTTTGAAGACACCGATAATTCAGACTTATTACTTGATGAGCGTATCAGTAAGTTGAGGGCAGAGCCGTTAGACTTTTTCGCAGTCGCTTCAATCATATGTGTTTGTGGAAGACTTTGATATCATTCCCTGTAGTTGAATTCTCAAGCCACATTCGGTGATCAATACTCTTTTTCTTCACTCAAAAAGCTCTGTTGCCTGCCTGAAAAGTTCTGCTTATCACAAGATCAAAAGGAGAACTGACACTGGAATGCCAGAAAAATAAAAGCCTAAATACATTTTAAGAATCACTTCAGACACTAAAATACAAACGCTTTTGATCAATTTTAGAACTAGGCAATCAAAAGACAATGGGGTCAACTGAAGATATTTGGAGAAATCAACCTTTGTTCGAGAGGACAAAAATTGCTACTGGTTTGGCATATGATCTCATATCTCTCCGCAAACTTTTTGAAGATGATGTCAAATTGACAATAAGGTATGTCTGAATACGAGTATTCAGGGGATAAGAAACAAATGCGAAAAGCTACTAATCTTTCAGCTATAAGTCCATCTTAAAATCAATATCCAAGGAGAACATTACCACCGATCCCGCAATCCGAACTGTGCTTTTGCACCTCAAGAGTTTGAGATCAACCCACTTACAAGAAGCACTCAAAGGAAGAATCCAAAAGGTAATTGGGATCTTAGATGATTGGCTAGAGAAAATCATGAAGGAAGGCGGCGGTGACTTCGAGTTTATAAACACTCTCGCTTAGCCTAGACAATGTCAAGATTTTATAGGAAGTCTTACATGCGTTAATACAAGAATGACTATTTATTCATTTTTCAAGAAAGTAAGTTTTAACATTCGATTGGAAATGGTTATGCTAATCTGTCTCATATGTGACTCTATACTGTAGTTGTACAGAAACATTTGGAGATATACAAATAAGGATTTGACTCATGTGACTCACATTCGGCCAAGCGGGAACTCCGTGCGGCGGGAATTAGTCCACCAATCAGTGTAGAAGCCGAAAAAAAAAGAAAACGCGCGAGATTTACGGCAAAATCTGTCCAATGGAAAGTCAAAAAATTGAACTCCGGATTGGTTTCCTCCTACAGTACAGAGTGGGGCATTAAAGAAACACCTCCTGATACTATAAAATACGAGCCTGCATACCACCCCCACTTCAGTGGGTGCTCACCCACCCACTAGCCGCAGCTCCGGGTCCTCGGATGTCTGGCACGTTGATACCGTCAGAGTCGAACATTGTAATGTATGTTTACTTCAACAATTGGGAAAAAGATTGGAATATACAAGAAAAAAAACTACTTATTTTCTGTTCAATTTACTCAGATGTCGGCTTGTTTCACGGTCCTGTCGGCGATCTCGCCTCCAATAGATGGCCCCGGCAATCGGTTTACCCCGGATTTCATGCGCGCCCCAAAATCCCGGGGCAACGGCTCCAACAAATTGAGGAACTTTCGTAGTCTGATTTGATGATCGAGTTCAAGCAAAAGTTCAATGACAGAAAGATACGAATTACTTTGGGATGGACTTGTGAAGGGGTGACCACTCACAATATTCGGTACTAATGGTTGGCGTTGACCGTCATGCTCAACAAACCCAAAGGAGTTCCTGCAGGCTTCTTCCATTAATGCAGCCTCGGGACAAAGGAATGTGGGTTGAAAAATCCGCTCGAATATTTGTGGGGTATATAAATACACAATATTCGCCCAGGAGACACGGGGTTTTCTTTCAAATATACTTTCTTTGAGAAAAAATACAGAGAAAACCTCCAACTATTCCGTGATCACAGTCCATTTTCTCGCGAGTTTCTATTTGTTGTCAGTCGTGGATACACATTCATTTCCCCCGTAATTGAAAGTATTTAAAACATTTATCTCTTCACACGAAGTCAGGTAAATCAAAAGTTATAATATAAAAGACAAATCTTCAAACATGTCTTCCCAAAAGAAAGGTGGATCAATTACCGACTTAGTCGCAGGAGGCACTGCCGGGCTTTTCGAGGCACTTTGCTGCCATCCTTTAGACACAGTCAAAGTGAGAATGCAGTTGCACAAGAAATCTGGACACAAACCTCCCGGCTTTGTGAGAACAGGAATCAATATTGTCCAGAAAGAGACGTTTTTGTCTCTCTACAAAGGTTTGGGAGCTGTTGTTTTGGGTATAGTTCCCAAGATGGGAATCAGATTCCAGTCTTACGAGTTCTATCGGTCGCTCTTGAGAGACCAGGATGGTAACATTTCTACCGGTGCCACCTTTCTCGCTGGTGTAGGTGCCGGTACAACTGAGGCTGTGTTGGTGGTTAACCCAATGGAGGTGGTTAAAATTAGATTACAGGCACAACACCATTCGATGGCTGACCCATTGGATGTTCCAAAGTACAGAAACGCTCCACATGCTGCTTATCTCATTTGCAAAGAAGAAGGATTCAGCACCTTGTACAGAGGTGTGTCATTGACTGCTGCTAGGCAGGCGTCGAACCAAGGTGTCAATTTCACCGTGTACCTGAAGTTGAAGGAAAGATTACAAGAATACCATGGGCTTGACGTTTTACCAAGTTGGGAAACTTCTTTGATTGGGTTGGTGTCGGGTGCATTGGGTCCATTGTCCAATGCTCCTTTGGACACCATTAAAACTCGGTTGCAAAAGAGCACGTATGCCTCTAATGAGTCTGGATGGGTTAGAATCGCCAAGATTGGAAAACAGTTGGTTAAAGAGGAGGGAATCAATGCGCTTTACAAGGGTATTACGCCGAGAATCATGAGAGTGGCTCCCGGCCAAGCCGTCACTTTTACCGTTTATGAGTACATGAAGGGTGTTTTGAACGGTGACACGGCCATCCCCGGCACCAACAAAAAACTTTCGTGATTGCGCCCAGGTCAATAAACAAGGAACAGCCTGATCGGATCCCTTAAAACAATATTTATTCATAGCTTTTTTAATAAAGTGATCGGAAAACATGTGGCTACATCGTGCCAATTTTTAGTTTAGTCGTGTATTGGAGCCTCGTACTGTTGCGTGGGACTTGGAGTTTCGCGCACGAAAATTAGAGATCGGCTCATGGTTCCAGACGCTTCCTTTCTCTTGTACTGAAGCTAAATTTCGTTAATTTGAAAATGAGATACCTAGAGAGACGTCTGCTTTCAACAGGGGCTATAAAGTCTTGTCTCAATGCAAAGTTCGCCTCACGAACAATTCTGATGTCGACGATGCCCCGCTTTTCGCCTTACCAAAGTCCGGGTGCTCAAAGTATACTTTCATATCGAACACTCAAACACTCGAGTCAAGCTCTTCGGACTCGCCAAACAGAGGAGATATCCGCGGAAGATATCAGAAGATATAAGGAGTCAAGAGCTCGTAGGGTTAAAAGGTCATTTTTTTATCATGAGTCGCCATCGTCAGATTCTCACCAATTCGAAAACGATCCGAGCCAATTTCGTACAGTGTTCGAGATGCCCCCGAATGAAAACGGAATCATTACGCCAGAAGACGGGATTTATAGCATCTTGAAAGAGCCGACACTTGTCATCGAAAGACAGGTTGAGTTCATGAATGTCATACTAGGCTTCGAACAAGCAAACAAGTACAAGATCATGAACTCCTTAGGTGAGCAGATCGGGTACATGGAAGAAAAAGACTATGGAATATTGAAAATGATCGGCAGGCAGTTTTTCCGCCTTCATAGACCGTTCGACATCGATGTCTTCAACAACTATGGCGATCTCCTTTTGACAATCAAAAGACCGTTTTCATTCATAAACTCCCACATTAAATGTCTTTTGCCAGGGTTCGATACAGACGGAAATCTCATGCACGAAGTGGTTGGTGAATCGGTACAGAGCTGGCACCTCTGGCGTAGAAAGTACAACTTGTTCAAGCTAGATGACGAGACGACCGATGAGTATAACCAGTTTGGCCTGATTGACTCTCCATTTTTGGCGTTTGATTTCCCGGTAAAAAACGAGGAAGGTGACGTGATCGCGTCCGTGGACAGAAACTGGGTTGGCTTGGGCCGTGAGCTCTTCACAGACTCGGGTGTGTACATCATCAGAATGGACCCTGCTAGTTTTGCCGGTTTGGGCGACCTTTATCCCAGCGTGGCAGGACCCCTCACGCTAGACCAACGCGCCATTTTGCTTGGAAACGCCGTGAGTATCGATTTTGACTATTTCTCGAGACACAGTAGACAAGGGGGCGGCTTCATGAGTTTTGGCTCCTACGAGTGACTGCATACACAGGCAACGATCCCATATTTCTTCAATAGACATGCACATGACGTCAGATCTCGGTATAATTCGTAATAGGGCTTCCCCAAACTATACTTTCGATTTGTTCATAGTCTTCAATTTTGCCTTGCGGAGAACTTCTTCCCACTCATTGTCAGGCAATGAGCTCGATATGTCTTTCAAAAGCTCCACGGTTAGTCTTGTGTAGTCATGTCTTCTCCACTGATTATCGCGTGCCCAGCGCTGTCTTTTATCAAGTTCCTGCGCCGTTGAAAGCTCATCCCCCAAGGCCTGGTACTGTTGCAACTTATCATTCGTGATAGCAAGCAAAGAGAAACGTATTTCATCTGAGTACTTTGATATTCTGCGATGAAGCACTTCGGGGAGCTTGTCGTAAAACTCGTCCGGCGACAGCAAATTGTCGTGTTTGATCGGAGATCTTTTGAGCCCATCCAACTCGTAAATCGTGTTGTTGATGTTCAAGTAAGTGATGAAGTGAAACAAGCCATTGTTCTTCTCGTCCACCTCAGGCCTAGCTGAATCATCTAGCTCTATGAATTTAGGGGCGCTGAACGAGTTGTGTACTTCACGGATGACCTCGCTGTTGGAGATGGTGTCACCACACATATCCGGGTCAAAACCAGCCACAAAACCGTGGATATTGGAGAGTTCTGTGCCAATGTCCAACTCACTTGTCTTGTTCAAAAGAGAGTTGAGCACAGCTTGAGTTGCACATGCATTTTGGATCGTTTGGCGGGCAAAAAATATGCCCTTGTCTTGATAATCCTCGTCGTAGACACCATCTAGAGGCACGTCGTGCATAGTTGAGTCACGGTCGACTTTGCCGTACTTGAACAAAAACACAACGGCGTGCACAGGGGCAAGGGCTTTCAAAGAAGCAGAATCGATGGAGTAGAGTTCTTCTATTTGAACGTCTTTTACGCCAAGCCTTGAGACGAGCTCGGTGAAGACACCGGCATCAGAGACAATTGTGTTCCAGCCGGAGGACATTTTTTGGCCGTTAGAGTGCTGAATACAAAGCGCAAAAAAGGGTTTTAGGTAGTTCTGAGTTTAGATCTGCTCTTGGTAGATCTCGTGGTTGAGAAGCTGTAGTTGGTCTGTGAGGCCGGGGCCGCTTTTCGCGCCAGGGCTCAGGTGCACCTTCACTGGCTGAAATCTAAATACACGTCTCTCAAAGCCCATATAATGAACATGGTACGCGACCAAATATTTAGACGAGAGATTTCGTAAGCATATGTACCAAGAAAATTTGCTAGAAGTTGCAACAGGTGTCTCGTCTTTTATTCTTGGCGCAATAAAGAATGATACCGTTCGTTGGCCCCAATTCTTGTACTTGCCCCAAGAGGCCACTGGGGCACTGGCGCGAAACGTGGCCGCGAAGTCCTGTGTTCCACGTAAACTAGACGACACCAAGAACCTCTGCTTGGAAGTCTAAGCTTTTTTTGTCAGCACCATGTCTTTTATCGAAAACAAGATCAAGTATATTGATCTCATCACCGACTTCCAACAAAACTCCGAGCAGATCTTGCCAAGCAAGTTGAGTCAGTACCAGCTGCTCATCACTCTTATTCTCGCCTTACTTTGTATGTATCAAACACGCATTTCATGGGACTACTATGAACGTGACGGGCACTTACATGGCCCGAGCTGCATGCTACCGACATACTAACAGCCAGCTTTTGCTTCTGTTGCCCTGACGCTTATCAACAGAAAGGCGAATTTCGCGACGTACTTGACGAGTGCCAGTGTTGCTTCGGTCTCCATAGCGTTGACCAGTATCTACGCTTGTAACTTCTTTGGTGTATATATTTAAACAGATATAATTAAAAGGAAATGAATCGGAAATTCAGACCGATTGAAGCTGGCCGATGTAGTCCCAATCTGTATTTTTTGGTGCTACCTCTTGTCTATTCTATTGCTTGCACCACGAAGTGCCACGATTCATTAACATTTTCTCGGAGCTGGGGTCGCGGTGTCTCGGGGCCTGAAGCTTGTAGAATTGGCCCTGGGGCCGGGCGCCGCGATAGTTTCCCACTGCGAAGTCTCGCAGCTATTTCGCTGCCAAGTGTCATTTCCCAGGTGCCGATTTTTCATCAAAGTTCTCTGGAAATGAAATTTCACATTTTCGTATTAGTTTCTGCCGTTCTCACAACCGTTTCAGGGTTGGGCTTTTACGCGAAAGACTCGAATATCTATGAGCTCACGCCGCTGAATTTTGACAAGGTTGTGCTTGGCTCGAACTACACCACCATAGTCGAGTTTTACGCACCATGGTGTGGCTATTGCAAGCAGATCAAGCCTGTTTATCACAAATTGGCCAAATACTTCCAGGAGGATGCAAAATATGCCATCAACGTTGCTGCGGTAAACTGTGATGAAGAAAAGAACAAACCCCTCTGCTCGAAATACCGTGTGCAAGGGTTCCCTACTTTGATGGTGTTCCGTCCACCCAAGTTCCAAAGAGGGTCGCCAACTTCCAGCAAGCACATCCCCGAGACATACAACGGGCAACGTGAACTCCCGGCAATTGTTGATTACATGACCTCGCGGCTCAAAAACTATGTGAAGAAATTCCACAACTTCACATCCAAGTCTTTTGTAGACTGGCTCAACGTTGAAGACGGAACAGAGAAGGTAGTTGTTCTTTCTAAAGCCGACGGTGTGACCCCGCTCCTCAAGTCCTTAGCCATTGATTTTCTTGACTCTGTGAGCGTGGCGATCGTTTCAGTCAAGAACCCTGTGCTGAGTCCCACCATAAAGTATGGAGATGAAGACATCGAAATACCTTTACAAGAAGACGATACACTCCCAGTCTTGCTTGTTTACAAGCAAGAAGAAAAGAAGTTTGTACGCTACAAGGGAAAGAAGTTGAACAAGATGGCTAAAATTCAGAAGTTTGTTATGGACACAGCCGGCGTCGTGCCCAGCGAGGGTTCGCTTTCCAAAAAGGAGGTAAAGTTGCGCAAGTATCGTGGCGTGAAGGAAAGCATCAAGGACGAACTCTAGACGTTTTGCCAAGGAAGCATCATGAATAAAGCAAGAGTCTGCCTTGCGCTTCCTCCCTCCTGGCGAGAAAATAAATATTTCGACATTTCAGAAGATCTTCTCTGGCAGCACTTAATTTCCAAGTTTGTCAAAGGCAGCAAGAAGATCGTCATCTATAGACTGGGTCTCTTGTTTCTCTTTTCTCTCTGCTTCTACATCGACCGACTGGATCCAGTTTGTGACTTGGTTGACCAAAAGTTTTGAGTTTGGAACGAAGTGGCCACCGGGGTGTTTTAGCACATGAGAATTTTTCTTCGAGATATCGTAAAGAGTGTAAGCCCTATCATCGCCCACAATGGTATCAAGCTCACCAATGACATGTAATAGGTTCGCGTTTGTAGATTGGCCATCATCGGAGGTGTAGAGCGACTTGTACTCGGGCATCAAAGTGGTATCAAGCTTAAACCCGGAGTATAGAACGGCAAATTTGAGAGGAACACCAAACATCTTTTCGAACTGATCCACCAAACCGCCTGCAAGGCAAGCGCCCTGAGAAAAGCCAATAATTCCAACAATTGGAGGGAGCTCGCTCTTGTTCGATGATTCAAAGTTCTCAAGGTTGGCTTCTCCTGAACTGCCTATATCATCATTTTCGGAAAAAAGGTCTGCCTTGATCTTTTGGTCTTCGGGAGATCCATCGATTATCGTACCATGTTCAATGTACTGGCGAACGGCATTGATGGCATGATCAAGGGTCACCTTTCCATTGTTGTCCCTAAACCACCACGCACGGTAATTTGTCTCTTCATCTGGTTCAGCAGCCACAGTATTGAATTTTGAAAGCGAATCAGACGACGGGAGCTGCGATGGTGTGAGCTTTAGTGGCGCATTGAGGTAAACTGCTTGGTATTTCAACGCCTTGAGCTTTTTTCTGAGGGCCGAGGTTTTTGCATAAAACACCGACGAGCTTTGAGTGAACCCGTGAAGAAAGAGTACTCTCCCTTTGAATTCGACAACTTTTTTGCCTGACATGGGTAGGTAAAGATGTTTCTTTTCTAGTATGAAATAAGAGAAGTCAGGTGAGATGGTGCATAAAACCGATGAGGTAGCAATGCGGCGTTGCTTTATCGCAGACGTCCGGTAGATTACGCTGCCCGCAGAGTGGGATCTAGATCTGGGGGAGATACTTTTGAAGAAGGTAGATAAATTATATTGAGGATGTTCTATAAACAGCATCTTTGTTATGTGCCCTGTTGCTTCTTGACTTGGCGACACATAAGATCTCCTCGATGTCTATATGTATTTTGGAAGCTCGAGAATCAGACGGATGATTTGGATTTTGGCCTTGTCACTGTTATCGCCGCGGCCGTAATATTCCTCAAAATCTTCCTTTTGTTTCAAAGTCTCATACTCCTCGTCCATCTCCACGTAGTGAAACACTCTGCCAAAAGCAAGGTTGTAAGCTGCTTTGACATTAATCTCTGAGTCATCAACAAAGTACAACCTAGAAGTCTGTGAGTTGTCCTTACTGTCGATACCAATTGTACGCAAACAGTGGTAGTAAAATTCTTTCATTGGTTTGCACACAATAGGGTTCAGTGAGTAGTCACAGTAAGTCAATCCGTCGAAAAGATCGCCAATTCCTAGGAAGGAAATGACTCTCAAAGCGTGGTTCTTGTAGGCATTGGTGACAAGCCAAAACATGTCAAACTGGCCAGAATTTTTGATCTGCATTAGCATTTCTCTGAGATTTGGGTTGAAGTGCAAAACCAGCTTTAAGTCTAGCGCGTCGTCCACTTTCAGATTATACTCCATTGCGTCAACCTTGTGGTTACGCACAAGACCCTCTAGAGCCAAACCATAGGTTCGGTAGTAATTGAGGTGTAGGTCATGTGCGTCCTTATCGCTCAAAAGGAGCGTTTCCTTGAAATACTTGTGTATTTTCACTTGCATCATGTCATGGATCCTCGTCGATCTTTCGTAGAGGCAATTGTCAATATCAAATAGAAAGATTTTCTTGTTTCCAGTATTCTCGGGTAGTGGTCCCACGCCGTACTTGAGATACACTTGGTGACCTGGAAACAGAACATCCTCCAATTCCGGATTGTTGTACGTCAAAGAAGACATTGTGCTGGGTAAAGGTTTATAAACTTGAAGTACACGAACCAAAAGTTTTCTGGTTATAGTGATCAAAGAAGGATTCTAGAGATCTGTAAGATTATTGCTGCTGAAAAAGAAGAGTACTGACTAATCGCCAGCATACAAGATGCAATCTAACAAACGTGGTGTCGCAAGTGTCCTGCGCATGACCCGCGAATTCTGTCCTTCAACGTGGGGCTATGGTGCGCTCAGAAATTGCTGTGCAGCAAACTCCTATAGTTAGGGAAGGAAAATGAGAGCCATAATTGCCTTCACCTTCGTTTGTTGCACTGGCGCCTGATGTTTATTTATCGTAAAAGAAGTCTCGGTTGGGCAATATGCCACTCATTCCCAACACATTCACGATGTAGTCCAACAAATGGTATGTATCACTTATGATAAGTGAGATGCGGCTTTTTTCACGACTGTCTTCTTCCGACAGAAACGTCAATTGACCAATGATCCGCTGGTATGAGTCTTTGCAGTCAATCAATTTTTCATAGCATACAAGTAAACCCTGGCCGTCTTGGAGAGCCTCATCTAGGATATGGACATTGAGTAGCTCGGCAACAAGATGCACTCTGAAAAAGTTTTTGTGCACGTCATTTCTATATTTTGACACGATATGCTGTGTTGACACATGTCCTAGCTTGCCAATTCTTTCAATCACCCCCGCCAACCGGGACAATTCGTCGCCTGTGGGTTTCACGTCAAGAAATTTGAAAATAAGTTTTTTTGCAACAAGTATTGAGTTCTGATGGGAAGAGGACAGACGGAGCAAGTTAACAAGCATGTTGAAATGAATTTCAAAAGCTTTTTGCAACTGTGTCTCTACTTCTCCGTAAAGCGTTGGTACGGTTCGGGTAAAAATCCGGTGCGCTTCCTCAACAAGTGACTCCAAGCCGTGTCCGCGGGACCACTCATTAACGATGATATCGAATATTGGAGCGATAAATATGTTTATCAAATTTTCCTTCCACATCTTGTTGAGGTTAAAGTCCGAACCAGACAAGTGGAAAAATATGAGCAAAAGAATTTGTTCCTCTTTGGACTTTAAACGAGGGACAAAGAAATGAAAGATGATGCTTAGTCTCAAGAGAAGCAACTCCTGATGGTTGTTATAATGCACAAGCTTTAGTTCAATCGGAGGCGACGCTGATGTCTTTGCCAGTCTTGTTCCAATAGCTTGCATCAAATCAAGAAAGCTAGGCTCTTCCCATGAATTGGGCAGTGTGAAAGTTTCATCTAAAGACTCCAGATTATCCAGATGACTCATCTCGGTGTAGGCGTGGCGAAAAACCCTTTCAACATGGGCCAATGAATTCAAGTCATTGACGGAAACTAGACTGGCGGCCAAGAACGAAGAGAGTTTGATCCGAGACGCTCGAAGGTTTTTCAAGAATAGATCCGGACTCCCCAGGCAATATTTCAAAGCCACACGCAAAGATGGAGAGCTGGGGATGTATCTGTCGTCGAATCGAGGCTTTTCCACATCGTCAAAAAAATAGAACTGACGCCGCGTGATCATGGAGTAGTCCTGGGAAAGACTTTTATGCACATAGTCCTCGATGATCTTGGAGTCTGTTCTCCAGCTGTAGAGGAAGGCCGAGCCATTGTCATTTAGCTCCTGGATGATCTTGTCTTTTTCAGCATTTAGCGCCGCAAGCCTGGCTCTGTTTTTTTCATCCTCCTCGGACAAAGTCTTTGAGATTTCCCGGGCCTGGCGTAGGATCCGCCTGTTTCTCTCTCCCTCGGTGAGGAAGATGCTGGGGATTTCCAAAGAGAAGTTTGCAGCGGCCTCAGGTGCATTTTTTTTGAAACTCTGCACATGTCTTGGTGCATCGGACACAATGCCTTGGTAGCTGGTAGCGATGTCTGGGCGTTGGGGATGATTTGGGAGTTGGGAATGATCCGGGAGTTGGCAAGAATCTGACTCCACTGCAGGAGTGGCTGATTTTCTTGTCTTCACCGGGGAGCCGAGTTCTTGGAAGAAGTGATCGATGAAAGCGTCGCCATCGTCAGAAGAACTGGTGAACTCGTCGGACATGGCATTCTGCACGATCGGAGCAAGGTGGTTTTGGGTGTGGCTTTCGAATGTGAGGCCGGTGATTCGCGTGAGACTGGCCCTAAGAACGACGAAGGGCATATCTGAGGCCTGCGTTCCGCGAGCACGAAGGCCACTACAAGGCCCAAGCAATTTTGCCAGACCACTGCATATCCGCCAGAAATGTCACAAATCGAGCCACGGCGATCGAGCGAATCTTTTTATCGAAAAGCCCCATACCCAAATTGAAAGGAAAAACTGATGAACACAAGCAGTCGAACAGATGGATGTACCAATCGTGCGAAGTGCATATCTACAAGCGATCTAGCAGGAGTATTTCAATGAAATATAGCCCCGAGCATAAGACAAAGGTATTCGTGGCCAGTGAAAAGGTCGATAACCAGCCCTCAAACAAACGGATGTCCCAGCCAATCGGATGGATATAACGGCCAATCGAACGGATATCACGGGCAATCGAACGGATATTATGGCCAGTCGAACGGATATCACAAACAATCTAGCGGACATCACATACAATCGGATGGATATTACGGGCAACCGAACGGACACGGCATCCAATCGAACAGATATCACATCCAACGAAACAGATATCACATCCAATCGAACAGATATCCCAGCCAATCGAACGGGTTCCCCAGCCAATCGGCCAGAGAGATATCTGCAAGCATTTAAAAAAAAGAAACATTTTCACAAATGTTGCAACGCAGCCCACAACCCAATCCACACATGCGTTCCCAGGGGCGTTGTCACCCCGTCACCACGAGCCGGCGTCTGTTTGTCGTGCAGTATACTGCGAGGCGAGTCCTCGCGCCCTTCTCTCCTCACTGGGGCCCAGTGCTGGAGGAACGCGCACAGTGGTTATTACCCATCGTGGAGCAATATTAGCAAGCCACGCAAGCCACGCAAGCCAGCGGCTATCGGGAAAATTTGCTAAAACACACGTGGGCTTGGGCAGCCGCCATGCCATGCGCCGGGCGCACATATTTGACAAGCGCCTCCCGGACCCAGTCACGAATCCGGCCGCTGCTTCGTCTGGTGGCCGGGTGGCCCCGTGCGGCACTGGCCCAGGACATATTGCCGCGCCGCCCGGGCATCGGTGCCGGGGCCAATAAAACCCACCACAGGGTGCCGTCAAACGCCCCTCGAGACGAACCTCGCCTAACGCCCCGGCCAAGTGGATGCCGGCACACTGCAGCACTGTCCCCAGGACACCGAAATGCAGACCAAGTGGCATACAAGCGCAGCCAGCCGTGCCCATCCGCCGCATTTGGCTGGGGCCGCATTTGGCTGGGGCCGCGCTGTCTGGGGCCGTTGGCGCCGCGCTGTCTGGGGCCGCGCCCCCAAGCGGCACTGCGGCACTCCGCGGCCCTGGCCCAAGCGCGGAGCCACATCTTTTTTCTCCCTCCCTATACCTCCACCTGCTTTCCTCCGTGCATTCTGCCCCTCCACACACAGACATGTCTTTCGAGAAGCTTGCATTGGAGCCCTTGTTCGCCAAGATCGACGAGTTGAAGCCCCAGTTCATTGACAGGTTGGCCAAGGCCATTGCCATCCCCTCCGTCAGCTCGGACGAGGCGCTCCGGCCCCGGGTGGTGGACATGGCCGCGTTTTTGGTGGGCGAGCTCACGTCGTTGGGCTTTTCCGACATCCAGTTGCGCGACTTGGGCAAGCAGCCGCCGCCCGTGGCCGACGAGAGCCTCCAGTTGCCGCCCATTGTGTTGGCGCGTTTCGGCAACGACGCGGCCAAGAAAACCGTGTTGGTGTACGGCCACTACGACGTGCAGCCTGCGCTCAAGGAAGACGGCTGGGCCACGGACCCCTTCACGTTGCACCACGACACGGCCGCCGGCATCTTGTACGGGCGCGGGCTGACGGACGACAAGGGCCCCGTGTTGGGCTGGTTGAACGTGGTCGAGGCCCACAACCAGTTGGGCTGGGAGCTCCCTGTCAACTTGGTGTGCTGCTTCGAGGGCATGGAGGAGTCCGGCTCGCTCGGGTTGGACGGCTTGATCGAGAAGGAGGCCAAGGCGTACTTCCAGACGGTCGACACCGTGTGCATCTCCGACAACTACTGGCTCGGCACCACCAAGCCCGTGTTGACCTACGGCTTGCGCGGATGCAACTACTACCAGGTGCTGGTCAAGGGCCCCGGCGCGGACTTGCACTCCGGCATCTTCGGCGGCGTGATTGCCGAGCCCATGACCGACTTGGTGCAGGTGTTGTCCAGGTTGGTAGACGCCAACGGCAAGATCTTGGTGCCCGGCGTCATGGACATGGTGGCGCCTTTGACCGACAAGGAGGACGCCTTGTACGACGACATCGACTTCTCGCCCGAGGAGTTGCACGCCGCCGCCGGGTCCGAGACCGGCTTGCACGGCAACAAGAAGGACATCTTGAAGCACCGGTGGAGATACCCCTCCTTGTCCATCCACGGCGTCGAGGGCGCGTTCTCGGGCGCCGGGGCCAAGACCGTGATCCCCTCCAAGGTCGTGGGCAAGTTCTCCATCCGGACCGTGCCGAACATCGAGAGCAAGCAGTTGGACCAGTTGGTGTTCGACCACGTCAACAAGGTGTTCCTGGAGATCGGCTCCAAGAACACCATGGCGGTGGAGTTGATCCACGACGGCGACTACTGGGTGTCGGACCCGTTCAACGAGTCGTTCACGGCCGCGTCCAGGGCCACCGAGCACGTGTGGAACGTCAAGCCCGACTTCACCCGCGAGGGCGGCTCGATCCCCATCACCTTGACCTTCGAGCAGCAGCTCGGCACCCAGGTGCTCTTGTTGCCCATGGGCAGAGGCGACGACGGCGCCCACTCGATCAACGAGAAATTGGACGTGAGCAACTACATCAACGGATGCAAGACGCTTGGCGGCTACTTGCACTACTACGGCCGAAGCTGAGCTCGGGGCTGCTGGCGTGGCACGCCGTGCCGCGGTTTATAGGTGACGCCGGTCCGCCTGAGGGCCGGGCCAGCGCAATACGATAGTACAGCAAATAGCAAGACGCGTAGCACCAAGGCACGGGCATTGGGCGCCAGCCGCAGCCCGCTATTCTGAAGGGAGTAATATTTCTGCAGGGAGCACATTTCTGAAAGGAGTATATTTCTGAAGGGAGTACATTTCTCAGGGAGTACATTTCTACAGGGAGTACATTTCTACAGAAAGCACATTTCTACAGAAAGTACATTTCTACAGAAAGCACATTTCTACAGAAAGTACATTTCTACAGAAAGCACATTTCTACAGAAAGTACATTTCTACAGAAAGCACATTTCTACAGAAAGTACATTTCTACAGAAAGCACATTTCTACAGAAAG